CGTGGTTCCCGCAGAGCCGGCGGGACGGGCGCTCAGCCTGCCGGGCTGGCGGCTTCTCCTTGCCTTCTTTTTTTCTTTTCTTTTAACAGAAAACGCTGTTTCACGGTGTAATCGTACCCTTCACTCCCAAACGCTTGGCTTGCATGACGAAACCTACTTATGTGAGGGAAGGCCGGTGTCAAAGGACTGGAAAATGGCCGGTTGTCCAGCGTGGCCACAGAGTCCAGGAGCTGTTTGCTGCTTCTCTAGAGGCAGAGAAGCAATCCAGCTTTCTTTTAATAGTTCTGTTCCCTGCCACTTAAAAGATGCTGCTGAGGGCTAAAACTCAAAATCAATAACCTGAGAATATCACAGAATCTTAGGGGCTGGAAAGGACCTCCAAAAAATCATCCAGTCCAACCCCTCTGCCAGAGCAGGATCACCCAGAGCACATCACACAGGAACGTGTCCAGGTGGGTTTTGAATGTCTCCAGAGAAGGAGACTCCACAGTATCCCTGGGCAGCCTGTTCCACTGTCACCCTCACAGTGAAGTTTTTCCTCACATTTATGTGAAACCTCCTATGCTCCAGTTTGGATCTGTTCCCCTTGTCCTATCACTGGACATCACTGAGAAGAACCTGGCTCCATCCTCCAGACACTCCTCCTTAACATATTTGTAGACATTGATGAGGTCACCCCTCAGTCTCCTTTTCTCCAAGCTAAAGAGACCCAGCTCCCTCAGCCTTTCCCCATAAGGGAGATGTTCCACTCCCTTCAACATCTCTGTGGCTCTGCGCTGGACTCTTTCAAGCAGTTCCCTGTCCTTCTTGAACTGAGGGGCCCAGAACTGGACACAATACTCCAGATGCGGCCTCACCAATGCAGAATAGAGGGGGAGGAGAACCTCTCTTGACCGACTAACCACACCCTTTCTAATGCACCCCAGGATGCCATTGGCCTTCTTGGCCACAAGGGCACATTGCTGGCTCATGGTCATCCTCCTGTCTACCAGGACTCCCAGGTCCCTTTCTCCTACACTTCTCTGCAGCAGGTCAGCCCACAAACTGTACTGGTCCATGGGCTTGTTCTTCCCCAGATGCAAGACTCTGCACTTGTCCTTGTTGAATTTCATCAAGTTTTTCCCTGCCCAACTCTCCAGCCTGTCCAGGTCTCCCTGAATGGCAGCACAGCCTTCTGGTGTGTCAGCCACTCCTCCCAGTTTAGTGTCATCAGCAAACTTGCTGAGGGCACACTCTGTTCCCTCATCCAGGTCGTTGATGAAAATACTGAATAGTACTGGTGCCAGTACCAACTCCTGAGGGACTCCACTAGTCACAGACCTCCAACTAGATTCTGTCCCATTGACCACAATATGGTTTCTTTGCTGTGAAGTTTCTTGCATTATGAAACATGATCTATCTAACAAGATCTATGCCACAATTTTCCCAAAAGAAAACAACCCCAACTTAAGAATATTTCACGGGATATCAATCTACCAAAGAACCAAGGAGCCATTGTGATAACAGTTTACTAGTGAGTACATTTACAGAGCTACATGCAAATTCAAAGCAAATTCAAAACTGTAACCCATGACATGCAGGTGAGAGAGATGTGTTTAGAAGGAGGGGAAGGACACCCAAACCTCTGTGCTCCCTGTGCCCTATGTATCAGGCACTGCCATTTGTAATACACGGTTAAGGTTTTTATGGTCCATGAGCCAGCAGGAAGCCACTGGGTTTTCTGTTGGTACAGC